ATTAATTCTTCAAATAGCTTATCCAGCCCTTGAGTGTTTTCTTCTTCACCTTACAGAACCCCTATCACCCTCAGGTTCTGTTTTTTCACATAATCTCACATTTCTTGTAGGCTTATTTCTTTTCTCTTAATTTTCTGCTCGATCTCTGTGACTGACTGATTTAATTGGAAGGAGTTGTCTTCAATCTCTGAGATTCTTTCTTCTGTTTGATCTACCCTGTTCCTCAGGCTTTCCATGGTGTTTTGTAGTTCCCTGAATAAGTCCTTCATTTCCAGGAGATTGGTTTGGTTTTTTCTTTAACATTTCAATTTCTTTAGTGAATTTTTCTTCCAAGTCCTGGATTTTTTTTGTGGTTTCTTTGTGTTGGTTATCCATATTTTCTTGCATATCAGTCAGTTTTCTTACAATCCATGTTTGAAATTCTTCTGTCATTTTAGTGTTCTGAGTTTGGTTAATGGCCATTGCTGGGGAGCTGTTGTTCCTCTTTGGGTGTGTGCTTTCCGTTTGAGTCTTCATACTTCCAGAGTTCTTTTGCTGGTTCCTTCCCATCTGGATCAGTTGTTCCTTCTTGCCTTTAGATTTTCATTTGGATAACGACATGCCCCGTTTAGTCTCTGAGCCAGTAGGTGGTGTTCGTGGGTTAGATTCGACCACACCCTTTATGATGAATCAGTAGATGCAGTAAAACAGTGTGCAGGATGACCTCCCTGTCAGTAGGTGACACTTGCTGGGAGGATCGAGCTGCAGTGCTGTTTTTGTGTCCTGTAGATAGCTCTTATTACTCTAGAGAGGCCCTCTTGTGCCTTGGGTGGTGGCTGGGGCCCTGGGACTTCGAGGTGTGTCCTTATTCTCCATCTCAGAGGGGGCAGGTCTGGGAATGAGTCTGGGTGGGGCTGGGTTGGGTAAACCTGCCCTCTGGCTCCACAACTGCTGTTATCAGGGGTCAAAGGTCTGCTCTTGTTTCTGTGCAAAGCTGCCGGGAGGGGCTGAAATGGCTCCACTCAGCTGAAAATCTGGGCTTGGGGGCTGGGGCTGTCCAGACCCGCACTCTGGAGCAGGTCTCGCTCCCTTCCACTCTCCCCCCTCTGTGGCCTCTCCCAGGCTTCTGCCAGCAAGCGGGACCTCAGGCCACTGGATCTCCCCTGGCTGTGACATGGGCTGGGATGTTCCCTACCCAGGACCACAGCCTGAGCTGGGTGCACAGTCGTCTTTTGGGAGGAGGGTTGCCGCTCAGGCACACTGATCTGCCCCTGAAGGTGCACACTCCTCAATAGGCTCTTTCACAGATCTCCCTTCTGTTCCCCAGGGCAGTGCGATCGTCACCTGGGTGTACAGGGTCTGGTCTGCAGGCCTGACCCCTAGACCTTGGAGATCAATCCCTGACCCTGCCAAGGGGAGGGCTGCTGGTCTTGAATCACCTACAGGGTGCCCAAGTTGGATCGATTTCACTCCACCTTGGGATTTGCCCCACTCTCCTGGAGTCCCCAGGCAAGCAGCACCTGGGAGGGCTGGCGGGCAGGGAGTTCACAGTCTGAGTACCCCTCGGTCTGCTGTAGGGCCCCAAAAGGAAAGGACCCATTCCTTGGAGATGCCTCCGTGTGATGGCTAAATTGTCTCTCTGGGCACCCACGGTAGGGAAGGGGAAGGAGAGAATGGAGCACTATGGCATCTGCCGATAGGCTCAGGTCTGTGTGCGGGGAGGTGCTCTGAGGGAGTTGGGAGCCCGGCGCTGTGTCTGCAAGAGGCCACCACTCACTGGTGGCAGCCGTCTCTGGGCTGGTGATGGCAGGTCTCTCCAACCGCTCAGGAGTCCACCAACAGTCCAAGATGCAAGGGAGGGGAAAGTTATCTTCTCCACCTACCTTTGTCGCTGGTCTCCAAGCCTCTTGGGACCTTTCTCCTTCCAGTTCTCCTCCGGAACGTCTTCCCGTGGAGTCTCCTGTAGTTTCAGGCACCCTTCCTTCCGACCTTCACCTGATCTATGTTTCTCTGCTAGTTTATTTTTTTCTCTTTCTTCTAAAATTTGTCTTTTTGCAGAGACACTCTGACTGGTGGCTTTTCTCGTCTGCCATCTTGGCTCCTCCAAAAAGCTTTTGTTTACTTTTTAATGGGGTTGTTTGACATTTTCTTGCTGATTTTCTTGAGTTCTTTGTGCATTCTGGTTGTTAGCCCTTTATCAGTTCTATAGCATGCAAATATTTTCTCCCATTCTGTAGGTTGTCTATTTACTCTATTGATTGTATCCTTGGCTGTGCAGAAGCTTTTTAATTTAATTAAGTTCCATTTGTTAACTTTTATTGCTGTGATTGTCTTTGGGTTCTTCTTCATAAATTCTTTGCCTAGGCTGATATCTGTAAGAATTTTTCTGACCTCTTCTTCTAGAATTCTTATAGTTTCATGCTTTAGGTTTAAGAATGGCCAAAAAAAATGAGTAAAAGACCCATGATAGACACATTTAAAAGTGTATAAAAGAGTAATTATGGTCCCAACCAGATAGGAAAGAGAAAATGGGGCATAAATAATATTCAAGGAGATAATGGCCAAAAATTTTCTCGAACCAATAAAAGGTATAAACTCATATATTCAAGAAGGTCAGAAAAATCTGAAGATGTATGCACAGAAAACCCTATATTGATACATGATAATACGTGTCTTGAAAAAATAAAGTGTCAAAAGATAAAAGAATCCAGATAGGAAAGGCAGATTACATTCAAAGGAGCAACAATAAAACTTTCATGTCAATTCTTTCTTTTTCTCTTTTTTTAAAACATTTTTTATTTCAACATATTATGGGGGTACAGATGTCTAGTTTGTGTATATTTCCCTTGCCCCACCTGAGTCAGAGCTTCAAGCATGTCCATCCCCCAGATGGTGCGCACCGCACCCATAGGTGTCTATGATATCCATCCCCTCCTCCCCCCTCCCACCTGCCCAACACTTGATGAATGTTATTATTATATGTGCACTGAAGTGTTGATCAGTTAATACCAATTGGATGATGAGTACATGTGGTGGTTGTTTTTCCATTCTTGACTTAGTAGAATGGATTCCAGCTCTATCCAGGATAATACAAGAGGTGCTATATCATCATTGTTTTTTTGTGGCTGAATAGAACTCCATGGTCTACATATACCACATTTTATTAATCCACTCATATATTGATGGGCCCTTGGGTTGTTTCCACATTTTTACAATTGTGAATTGTGCTGCTATAAACATTCTAGTGCAGGTGTCTTTTTCATAGAATGTCTTTTGTTCTTTTGGGTAGATGCCCAATAATGGGATTGCTGGATCAAATGGTAGTTCTACTTGTAGCTCTTTGAGGTATCTCCATATTGCTTTCCACAGAGGTTGTATTAGTTTGCAGTCCCACCAACAGTGTATGAGTGTTCCTATCTATCCTCATCCATGCCAACATTTGTTGTTTTGGGACTTTTTGATAAAGTCATGTCAATTCTTAACACAAAAACTAGAAGCAAAAAAGCACCAGATGGAAAATTTTGAAGTGCTAAAAAACCCCTGACAACTTAACATTCTATACTTATGAAAGCATCCTCTAAAAAATGAATACAAAATAAAAATATTTTTAGGCAAACCTGGGAGAATTCATCTTTTGCATTCTTATACCAAAGAAAATATTAATTGCTGGTATTTGTTCATACTTCTTTAAAAAAAAACCTTTCACCTATTCTTCTTTGAGTAAATCATGTTTGCTGTCTAAATATTAGATAATTCAGAGTAAAATTATTATGGAAATCACTTATATCTTATAATTCATATATATTCATCATTCATATGATTTTAGTATAGATTGATGTGATGTCTAGATAAATATATTTTAAAAAAATTACGTCATATTTAACTGACTGATCTGGAACTTACTTCTTTCACTTTTGATTTCTTTCATCTTGTGAAGGAGGTGGAAGAAATCAAAATAGATATGATATGGCTATAATTACACTGATAGTATAGTTTCATCCCCAAAGACATAAACCCATATTATTATTTATCACCGTTCTTTAATATTGCAGGTTATAGATGTGCCATGATTAACTTAAACACATATGCTCTTTAGAAAACATTTCTTATATATCATTGTATTTTTATTTAATAATTGCTTAGTATGTTTTTATGTGAATGTACTATATTTGATCTCATGTTGAAAATTTCCATCCAAACAAATGACAAGATGATTAAAAATGTCATAAACATAAGCATTAATAAATGTTGCTATATTTATGAAGAGAGAGAAGTAAAATATATTTATGTAGCCACTCATTAATTTATGTTAAAATTATATTAATGGTGAATATATATAAATTATAAGATATAGATGAATGTGGTTATAATTTTTGTAAAAAGCAAAAATTTAAAGATAGATATGACATGAAAGTGAATGGCTAGAGAATTGTCCTAATGAGAGGAATAAAATAAGTACATTTATTGAAAGCATAGGATACACTAAGAAAGAATAATGATTACCCATGAAAGACCACTGATGCCAGTTCATTGCATTTGAGCCTCCAGGCTAGGGGTAGAGAGGTGAACTAGTCTAGTGCTGAATTTTATGAATGAGAGAGTTAACTAAATCCCCAAAGACACTGATATCCCGTGACTTTTTTAAAGGCTTTGGAAGAGGCATTCACCAAAACATTCCTGATATGATTGCTCTAAGATATCAAGACATAGCAGTCCTGTCACTAGTATCTCCACTATACTGTTCCATGTCCTAATACCAAAGCTCACCTCAAGCATGGAGGGAATTCCTTAGAAAAATACAATACTAATTGCCATTATTATAGTCATTTCTGCTTTGGAAAGAACATATGAACCACCTGGTCCTGAACCTGTTTTGTGTTAATTCCATAAATAATAGGATTTAACATAGGTGGAATGAGAACATGGACATTGGCCAGCAGGACGTGGACATAGAGTGCGATGTGGCGTCCAAACCGCTGAGTGAGGACTGAGAAGATCCCAGGCCCATAAAAGAGGATGATGACACAGCCATGGGAGCCGCAAGTATTGAAAGCTTTGTGGCGAGCCTCTTGGGAAGGCATGTGGAAGACAGCATGGAGAATCAGCACATAAGAAATAAAAATTAGCAAAACATCCAAGACCAAGGTTGACATTAGCACAAAAAACCCATACCAGATATTTACCCGGATGTCATCACAGGAAATTTTGGCTAAGACAATGTACTTACAGGCAGTGTTTGGGAGTTTATTACTTTTGCAGAAAGTCAATCTTTTCAGAAGAAATGTTGCAGGAAAAACTGTAGTAAAACTTCTCAGAAAGATAAAAAGGCCAATTCTTTCAATCAGTGTGTGTGTAAGAATAGTGGTGTACCTCAGTGGGTAGCAGATGGCAATGTAACGGTCAAACGCCATCACCAGCAAGATCCCTGACTCAGACATGAAAGTGGAAGTGAGGAAGAAGACCTGAGTGATGCAGCGATCCAGGGAGATCTCCCCAGCTTGGAACCAGAACAGTGCCAAGGCCTGAGGAACTATGCATGTGGAGAGGACAAGGTCTGTTGTTGCCAGCATGCAGAGGAAGAGGTACATGGGCTCATGGAGGCTGCGCTTTGTGAGGATAATGAAGATGAGCAGACTGTTCCCAAGTAGGGCAGTGACATAGGAAATGAAGGGGATAGAAATCCACATATGCTGGTCCTCTAGTCCAGGGATGCCCAGCAAATGGAAGACCGTGTGGCTAACACCAGTGTGGTTTAACGTAGTCATGCCTGGGGAAACCTTTCAGGACCTCACCTCCTATTCACAGAGGTAGAGGAAAATTCAGATTACACTCAAAGATTTCCTTTGATATCACCTATTGCTTTTTGCCCCTACCTGATCCCATTCCATCCTGAGAATACCAGGAACTGTGATGCATGTAAAGACAAATCAGATATCCTTTGTTTTTTGAATGAGGCCTTTATCTCATAAATACGATAGACCTTTATGCAATTAAAGAAAATTAGATGCTTAAGCTTGCATGTAAGTGGTACAAAATAAAACACAGAATATAGAGCACAGAAACACAATGGAAGGAGCAATTTACTTTGTATTCATGTTGGTTTTAAGAATAAATATATTTTTGAACTTACCTTTAAATATATTTTAGAATGTCAATAATTGTAAGGTATACAAGTAGAGGATGGAACAATGTCAATTGGGAGTTTAGGATGAAATGTTTGATATGCAAATGCCAAGCATGTTTGGAACCTCTTAGTTCTTTGTGGTCATGGCTTTGTAAATTTGGGCAATTGGAGAAAAGATGGCAGCCAAAGATTTGCTCAGAATAGAAATTAAGGATCCTGGACTTAAACTGTGAAGACATGGTCAGCCACAATGAATTAAGAGTTATGTCCTATCTTTTTACTACAGAATAGGGATTTGGGGTAATACAGTATGGGTTGTGAAATTATTTACGTTTGAAACCTCACCAATATTTGATGTGTTCCCTGACAACATCTCTTTAGACAACAGGGATAGAATTCTCATAAAGACCTAAAACATTTGTGTGCCATATCCTCAGTCCAGCTGGAGGCTTGGAAGTACATAAACAGTTCTGATTTCCATCATACCACAGAAGCAGGGCTGGGTGCTAACACAGAAAGAGGGCAAGTAGACCCAAATTCTCAGGATTGGTGGAGAAGAGAGGAAAAAAATTTAAACTTCCTTAGATTTGAGAAAAAACACAGGTGGTTTAGTGGCCAGAGGGCTCCTTATTCCCCTGAAGTCAGTACCATGATTTGTAAGAGAAATAATTTTATATTGTCAAGGCCAAACTCCAGGGCTTACCCTATCCCATGGTTTCTCTGACTTTGACCTTGACATCTCTATTTCCATTCTCAGGAGATGCGGTTGGTGCAGTTCAGGGATGCAGGAAATGAAGATCTATACATGTAAACAACTTTCAGCATCTCTGTAGTGACTTGGTGCATGACTGGGGATCTGGCACCTAGTAAGGACACAGAGTCATTTGTTCCCTGTCCTCTCAGGCCAAGTGTGTGCACGACTATGTTGAGAATATAATAGTCAGAAAAGAAGATCGAAATGAAGCAACATAAAGCTTAAATAACTGAAAATCTGAGGCTGAAGAGGACCTGCTTATAAATAAGGATGGCTGCTGGATGCTTTGGGAGTAAAGAGGATTTTTCTTCTGGGAGGCAGAGAAGAGAGGTTAAAGGGCTCAGTGATTGGGGTCTGGTCTGTGAGTGAAGTTGCAGGTACTTGAGTAGTTGGTTGTCTACAAATCTATCTAAGACAACTTCTCAAAAGCTTCATGAATGCTCCCCCAGTCTCAACCCAGGTATCTTCAGCATCCCAGAGAATTAACTTCCATCTCCCTGCTTTGTGTTCCTGAGACAGTTACCCTTATTCAGGGCATTTCTGTTCTGTATGTCAGCAACATGCCTGTGAAAACCTTCTCCCCATCTCTTGTTCCCTCTGACTTCACAAGAACTCCAATTATCAAAGCACCTAACTTAAGAATAGGAGGATATTAGTTACCTGGCAATGTTCCCCCAGGTGATTTTAAACTTTCTCAGATCTGAGAGCTATCTTTTTTCCTGATATTTTTCCAGACCTCATCACACCAAGGCATAGTGTAACTTCTCAAAGTGTTCATCAAAAGAACCAAATGACAAATATTGGGTGGGTGTGAAAGATCAGGGCAGGGTAGCCATGAATAAGCCCCTTTAAGGCCTTGGATATTTACAGTAGTCAGGCTCTGGGGCCAGGTATAACATTTTCTGGAGGGGCTTAGGGCTCCTTGGAACACCGAGAGCTAAAAAGGGTCCTTATACTCAGGGTCTCCTCATTCTTCCTTTCCAGAAAGCATTTTGCATTCTACTGGGCTAGCCCATATTTGTGACTGTGGTTCAGTGTTGTGCTGGTAACCCAGCTCAAATGCACACACAAAGATCAGTCCATCAATCAAAGTCATGATTTGTAATAATTGCTGATTTTGGTGGTGTGTATACTCCAATCATGATCATTTTTAAGGTACCTACGTGATATCACTGAACGTGGAATTTGAAAGGAATGTGCACAAGTGAGCCAGTACAGGTGGCTCCACCTCACAACTGCTGTAGACTCTCCAACTCTGTCTACTCAACTCCAGACACTAGCCCTAATATTTTTGACCACCTACTTCAGTTCCCTGAACATCTAATCTAGATAGGGCTTTTTGCCTGAAATTTCACTCACAGCAATAAATAAATCACCCACCTGCTGTAAATGGAGTTCTCATGGGCTGGAATGGGATGAGTGAATATAAGCCTGTCAGAGTGATGGGTGCCAGGGAACTGAGATTTATGTATGTACCTGAAAGCCTTCAGGGCAACTATTACCTCAGGGAGCCCAGATGTAGAGCTGTTTTTTCAATAACACCTCCTCTATTCCATACGTGTTTGACAAATTGTTATGGCTTTCAAAGCCTGCCTTATCCACCCTTTCCTCTAAACATCTTCTTCCCTTTGTTAGGCATGCTCATGTACTTATTTCTAATAAATAAATTGTTAGCATTACTATACCAATTTATTCCTGTTTTCATTTTGCAGGATTTGGTAAATATTAATCCCATTTCAATCAGCACAATTTGAAAATCATCAATAGCATAGTAAAACAAAAGTATTCCTTTGTAATCTAGATAAACTTGAATTAAATGTGTAACATTTCATCAAGTCATTCAAATTTTGGAATTTGTTATAGTAATATTTTAAATATTTACATGAGAATACTTGAATTTCTTCTTAAAAATCTATTTGTCCTCCTTGTGTGAGTCAAGATCAACTATGAAAAACATTCTGCACCCTCTTTCCTTTGGCTACCAAACAATCTACATTTGATTTTCATTTATCTTATTCAGTAAATAAGATAAACTTATCTTGTTCATAAACTTATCTCTTTATGTTATTTTCATATTTTTATTTAATTAGTCCAAATAAGTGCATATATACATATGTATATATGTGTAAAGGAGAATCAGATTTATGTTTAAGAAATATCTTTGTGTTTTTTTGATAGAGGCCAATCTCACTGGGGTTAGGTGATACCTCATTGTGGTTTTGATTTGCATTTCTCTAATGATTAGAGATGTTGAGCATTTTTTTATATGTTTGCTGGCCATTATTCTGTCTTCTTTTGAAAAGTTTCTGTTCATTTCGCTTGCCCATTTGTTGATGGGGTTGTTTGATTTTTTCTTGTTGATTTTTTTGAGTTCTAGATAGATTCTGGTTATCAGCCCTTTATCAGATGTGTAGAGAGCAAATATTTTTCCCATTCTGTGGGCTGTCTATTCACTCTAATGATAGTTTTCTTGGCAGTGAAGAAGCTTTTTAATTTGATTAGATCCCACTTATTTATTTTTGTTGCTGCGGCGATTGCTTTGGGGGTCTTCTTGAAGAATTCCTTACCTAGGCCGATGTCTGAAAGGGTCTTCCCAACATCTTCATTTAGAATTCTTAAGGTTTCATGCCTTAGGTTTAAGTCTGTTATCCACCTTGAATTGATTTTTGTGAGAGGTGAGAGGTAGGGGTCTAGTTTCAGTCTTCTGCATGTAGCTATCCAGTTTTCCCAGCACCACTTATTGAAAAGAGATTCTTTTCCCCAGTGTATGTTTTTGTCAGCTTTGTCAAAGATTAGATTACCATATGCAGATGGTTTCATCTCTGGATTCTCAGTCCTGTTCCAGAGGTCAATGTCTCTATTTTTGTGCCAGTACCAAGCTGTTTTAATCACTACAGCCTGGTAGTACAGCTTAAATTCAGGTAAACTGATACCTCCCAGTTTGTTCTTTTTACTTAAGATTGCTTTGGCTATACGAGGTCTTTTCTGGTTCCATACAAAGTGTAGAATTATTTTTTCCAGATCTGTGAAGAATGATAATGGGATTTTGATAGGGATTGCATTAATTCTGTAGATCACTTTAGGTAGTATGGACATTTTAACGATATTGATTCTACCAATCCATGAGCAAGGTAGGTTTTTCCATCTGTTTATTGGCGAGTATGTGGAGAGACAGGAACACTTCTACACTGCTGGTGGGACTGTAAGTTAGTGCAGCCTCTGTGGAAAAGAATTTGGAGATACCTCAGAGAGCTAAAAATAGAAATACCATTCGATCCAGCAATAGCACTATTAGGCATCTACCCAAAAGAGCACAAAACATTCTACGATAAGGACATCTGCACCCGAATGTTTATGGCAGCACAATTCACTATTGCAAGAATGTGGAAACAACCCAAGTGCCCGTCAATCCATGAATGGATTATCAAAATTTGGTATATGTTCACAATGGAATATTACTCAATCATAAGAAATGACAGTGATCTAGTACCTCTTACACTTTCCTGGATTAAACTTAAGCCCATTATCCAAAGTGGAGCACCACAAGAGCAGCAGAACGGGACCCATTTGTACTCACCATCAAATTGGTATTAACTAATCAACACATAAATGCACATATCAGAACAACATCTATTGGATGCTGGGGAAGGGGGAGGGTGGTGGCTGGAGGGGGGAAGAGGGAGGAGGGGAGGGGTATGTGTATACACAAGGAGGGCAATGCGCACTACCCGAAGGATGGACATATTTGAAACACGGACTTCGGTGGGGGGGGGAACCAAGGGCAAAACACGTAACCTAAACGTATGTACACCCATAATTTGCTGAAAAAAAAAAAAAAAAAAAGAAATATCTTTGTGTGTGTCACAGGGTATTTAGCACTGCCAGGG